CCAGAGACAAGTCCAGCATTTCACAAGCGTGGTCAGAACTGGGAGGCCCAGGGCACAGAGGGCCTTCTGCAGCTCTGCCTTCTCCTCCTTCCCCTTGGTCCAACCCTTCCTGCTCATCAGGTCCCATGGCACTACAGAAAGCACGATGCGGTAGACCACAGAGCCTCAGAGAGAAGGGGGCAGTCCATGGCAGCCGCTGGTGGCACTCATGGGAGATACTGAAGTCAGGCTATGTCCTCCCCAGCACTGGGACAAGCACCCCATCCTCTCTACAGCAGGCAGGCCCCGCTGGGTTGATGCTGCTCTCTCTTGGTGGTCCAATGTCTGCTCTTCTGGCTCTCGTGTGGGTAAGAACTCTGCCTGCTGGAAGAAGCAGAAAGGGGGACGTTGTGGGTCTAACACCCACCGTGGTGAGCTGCTGAGGGACCCCACCATGATGAGCTGCTGAGGGACCGCAGTGAGTCTCCCCATCCACCACCATTGGCACCTGGATCCTGACCCCTGAGAAGCATCCGTTTACCTCCTGTCCTAGCTGCTGAAGACACTCAGCTTATATGACAGTATCCAGTGCAGCACATACATCCTTGCAATGTTGCCAGATCTTACACACCTAATCATATACACACAGACGTGTGGTTGTACTACATAGGGAAGGATGCGTGTTGGGGGAAGGCCAAGGGAAAGGGGAGAGAAAGTACTGGGAACTGAAGGAGGCATCATCAGCACTAGTCGACATGGTCGTGCCCTGTTTTAGACTGAAGAGCAGAGACTAGCTTGGGTCCCCAAAGAGCAAATGAGATGATGGAAATTATCATTTCTTGGAGGGTTACAGTGGAACTAAAGTCTGTCTGAAGGCCACACACTGGTTTAATCACCAGGGTTCGCCACAGTGCCTTGCACGAAGGATGTCCACAGAAGCTTCATATGCAAAAGTTCAAGGCCACCCTAACCATCAGGAGGAGTTGGCACAAGCTGTATGGGAAGCTGTTGGAAGTATGGAGGAAGAATGTGTGTGGCCTGAGCGTTTCAGTGTGTTTATATAAACACCTTCTATCTGCCACATGCTGTCTATATGCCTTATGCTTTGGACCTGGAGAGATGACTGTTACCACCCCATCTTCAAATGAGGAACTAGCCCAACGTACCACACTACTCAGATTCATGTTGGTGCCATTTGATAGTAAAACACATATTTTCACAGTATGCACATAATATGTGTGTGGCCTGTATGCCCGTACCACTGTACATGTGGACACATTACCACACTGCCTATGTGTGCCCCCATGTGCATGCATTGTAATACTGTGCTTGAGTATATCTGTGCATGTATGACTGTGTCTCTGTACATGTTTACACACATGCATCTGTGCCTGTGTACATGTATGTCTTTGTGAATGCATGCTCATGGTTGTGTGGGGCCCATGTGAACTTGTGCAGTCATACATGATATTAAGTGCATGTATACCTATATGTTGGTATCTCAGTATGTATGCATGTAAGCGCGCATGAGTGCATGTCCCTGTGCTTGTGTGTGTGCATGTATATATGTGTGTATTTGTGTGCATGCATAGGTATTCCTATGAATGCATGTGTGTACATGTCCACACAGTCATATGTGGGCCTTGGGCCAAACTCTGAAGCGATTTTGTGTCAAGACTATACAACCATTTTCTTCTCTTCTTGCGCCTTACAGTTTTTATGCCCCCCACCTCTCTCAAGCCTGTATGACTTATGTAGCCTGAAAAGAAGCCAGTCTTCAAGAAGAGATTAATGACAGACTGGCTGCAGCCCTTTCCCGAAGCCCACACAAACCTTCTTGGGTCTACACACTGTCCTTGTCCTAAACGTCTTCTCACTCCTTAGCTCCCATGCTTCCCTGTATATTAAAACAACAACTTTGCTTCGGAAAAAAACAGTGGCATGCTTAAGTCATGTCACGCTCTTGGGTCTACACACTGTCCTTGTCCTAAACGTCTTCTCACTCCTTAGCTTCCATGCTTCCCTGTATATTAAAACAACAACTTTGCTTCGGAAAAAAAACAGTGGCATGCTTAAGTCATGTCACACATGCAGGTGGAGCCCTATGTCAGGCAGGTTGCTTCCCACACCACCTGACCCATAAGGGGGCTTCACACCCCTTTCCAGGACCTGACATGCTGCTCTGGAGGAGGCAGAGCATGTCTGCCACTCAGATGACAGGATGGAGGTCTGGGGACATGCCGAGTGCTCAGGGCATGTCCAGACTTCAGCATCCTTGACGCTTGATGGTGAGGTGGACACAGATCTCTCATCCCCAAGTCCTCACTAGGAGACTGCTTGAGATGCCATTGCAGTGGCAGGGCATGGCCACAAGCAGCTCTCTCTCTAGGTGCTCAGCCGTGAATATCAGCTTTCCAATGATGCACTCCACATTACTCTGACAGAGCATCTGTCTCCCATCTTGGTGAACAGGCTCAGGCAGGCAGTGGTGCTCCTGGGAGACTGTCTGTACTTACAGCTTGGAGGATACCTCTGTCCTTAGCCTTTGCCGTCTACTCGTTTGTGTGAACCATGCTCAAATCTGGTCTGTTTCTCTCTGTGTCTGATTTACTATGGTTGCTCCATAAACAAGGTGTGACTGTTTATCTTGTCAACCTGAATGGATCTGGAACCAACTAAGAGACTCGCCTCTGGGTGGATCTGTGAGCATCTCCAAGAAGGGTTAGTTGAGTGGGGAAGACCTCAGGGCAATGCCTTCTGGCAGTGTCCAGACCTAAGAGGTCTGAGGGAGAGAAGTGCCTGGCTTTCACTTCGGGGGGCTGAGCGTGTCTCTTCTCTGTTGCTGCCTCCATCCTCTGCTGCCACCGGAAGCCAACGTCCAGCCTTCCAGCGCGGACTGAGACCAGAGGCTCTCCTTCAGGCCTTCGGCCCCAGGTTGGGACGGCTGAGGCGGCAGCTTTGTGGGCTGAGCAGCTACCAGGACCTTAGCTCTAGCATGCAGACTGCTGCCTGTGGACTTCGCAGCACCTATCGTGTAGGTTAATCTAATAAACCTTTGTAATACGTATTCGTTCTGCAGGCTCTGCTCCTCTAGAGAGCTGGAACTAATGCACAAGGGTATAGGTGAGAACCCCTGGTACAGGGGTGGACAAGTAAGCAGGGAGGCAGTGACAGAGGATGGGCTGTGCTGGTCTCTCAGCAACTCTGCAGGGCTCTGGGCACAGGCATAACATGGGCCTGTGAGCTGGCCTGCAAAGGTGAGGAATTGGCCTCTCTGTCATTTAAAGGGGCACCGTAGCCTGACTCAGGCAGGCCCAGGAGGCCCAGCAAGTGATTCCAGATGCAACCACAAGACCTAAGTTCACAGGCCAAGAGCCTGTGACAGAGTCTGAGGGGGACACAGGACCATGAGCTGGCCACTGTCCCCAGGGCTTAGCAAAGTCTGTGTTCCACTTGCTCAGGACAAGATGGATGTCAAGATGCATGCAAAGTCCCTTTGGATTGTGGAGGGTTGTATTACATAATAACTTCCAGAAAGTCTGTGTACAACATGCTCAGGACAAGATGCATGTCAGAAGTCTTTTTGGATTGTGTAGGGTTGTATTATGTAATAACTTCCAGAAACAACTGACTTTGCATGTCCCCCCTAGGCGTGATGATACCACTACAGGGGATTAAGATCTTAACAGAATTTTATTCCAATCCCTCTTATCTGAAGAGCAGGAACCAAGGCTATTTCTGTTTGTGTCATCCATGAGTTCATTATGACAGGTGCTTTTAAACAAGCTGGTTCAGCCCTCTGCTTCCCGGGGCCTACAGGACCCACAGGTCTCTCTCCAGGGTAAGTCAATCACATCCTCCACACCTTGACTCCCCCAGTCTCATTCACCCTCCCATCTCCCCTGCCTGTCTTTCCTCCTAGCCTGGGTCTTGGCCCATTCCTTCTCTTGGCACCCAAGACACCAGGGGAACCACCACTGCTTCCTGGTCCTTTGCATCCAGACCAACCCAGTTCCTTCCTGTAGTTCCCAGGAGTCCTTGGGGCCTCTTCCTGCCCCCATGTCCCTTTGCATCTTGGGGTGGCATGGCCACCAGCTGCGCTAGAACAGCATCTTTCCTGGGCTCACTCCCAGGCCAGTCCAACCCCCAAATTCCTGAGGACAACATCTTTCCTGGAGGGATCCAGACCTTAGGAGAAAGCCTGAGAGCATCTGATCCTCATCTGACTTGGGCCTCTATGGGAACTCCTGAAGACAAAAGCAATCTGGCCACTCCAATATAAAATCAAAAAAGAGAAGCAGAAGCTTAGAGGAACCAGCTTTTCATGCACAAAAAGTAAACCACAAAGACACATAAAGTTTACAAAAAGAAGCAGAACTGAACTTGAAGGTTTGAGTCTCACACAAGAATAAAAAACTACAAAAGAAATTCACACGTCGAAATCACAGAGAAAATATAATGACATTAAAACCCAATCCCAGCACTCGGGAGGCAGAGGCAGGTGGATTTCTGTGAGTTCAAGGAAAGCCTAGTCTACATAGTGAGTTCCAGGACACCTTGGGCTACAGGAAGACCCTGTCTCAAAAAGACCAAAAAAAAATCACAGAGAAAAAATAACATGAAAAACCAACATAACATATCCCCACCAAATACCAATAGTCCTCTAGAGGAGTACAATTAGAATCCCCTAGAGATAATGCAGGACATGAAACTCAAAAGAACAATTATAAACATGATAAAAGAATTCAGTGAATTCA